AGTATTTATAGAATAGAACTTATAAAGACATGTTACTACATAGTTTAATGTAACTGACACGCATATCAATAAGCAAAACACATTTATTTCATGTTCTTTAGATAGACAAGCACCCTTGGAATCGCATTGATTCCATTCATTAATTCCATTTTGTCATGGTGATAATACAATACAATGATATTGCCAGTAATTTTGAATCTTTTGACTTACTCATGATGTAAAATAGATTAAAGTTGCAATCCCACTTTGTGAGTTACCATCCCCGACAACCAATATATTCATAATATAATGCCGATATATTAGATAGGTAATGTGAAATCATCTGCAAAATGTGAATTTAAGCGGTTCTTATAAATTACGTTAGATTTGGAAATAACAAACACTCGCTGAGTTAGAAAGCTTTGTTATTCATGAATGTTACATTACAGGTTTGTCTGGCCAGTACTCTCAAAATGAATTGTACGAAAAGGAGAGAGCAAGGTATCTACTTTTATATACCATACTTTTAGCTATCAATGCAACATCATTTCTTCAGATTTTATGTTGTAGCTTGTTCTGAGAGTAATTTGTCACATATTTGCAAAGTGGCAATGCAACTCTTGGCAGTTATTCTCAGGAAGCGATAATCTGTATCTAAATAATGAAGTTATATCTCTTACTATCATAAAATCACTGAATACATTATTAATCTTGGTATTACAAATCTATATTGCTCGCATCTGTGTACATAGGAATACCTGCGAATATATATATATATCTACATTACGATAACAGTAGCAATTGATAAATTCACAAACATGCAAAACAGGTATGATTTAAATAATGCAAATTAAACATAGAATTTAAAAAAAAAACATATTAAACATGAAAATAAACAAAATAATTTTACACCAAATGTGTGATTCTAATAATAATGTGATAAATAAAATAAAGCTTCATGATGTCATCCAAAGACTTACTTAATATAATTACGTTTTAATGTCATTTTCTTTCAAATTTGGCTGTTAATAATGGATTAGAAGTGTCGAGGTATAAGTGTACATCTTGTAAGTTGTATTAGTCATATACATTATATTTGGTATTCTGAATTACACACAGATTTCAAAATATTACATTTTATCAAAATGAAAACACTGAAATCATCCAGCAAGTCAATGTCGATACATATAAATACTTTGTGAAAATGTCACAACCAGATTGTTGTTCCTTAGTAAATAAAAGTAATGCAATTAAGCCAATACAGTAAATGATACTTCTATTATATACTAATAAATCACAGCGCATAATTGGTTCTAGTTCAACTCTAAATCAGTGTATTGTATATTATTCTGTTTTACATGCAGATTAATTAACCCTTTGTGTGGCAAAATCAATTCCAATCATCATCGACAAAACAATTTCTTTTTTCAGTCGGCTCTTTTTGACAACAATTTTCAAAATTTTTATCATAAAGTAAAACCATGCATATTTAAGACTGAATTCGACACAAATTACAAAAAATTTGAACAATTTTACATCAATTTTGAGCATGAAAATTATTTGCCACTCAAAGCAGGGGTGAGCAAATCAATCCACAACAATGTAGTCATTAAACCAGTAACCACAACAAATTGATGTTTCAAGTCAGTAAATTCTGTGGTCATAATGTTATTTGTTTTGGCAATAAAACATTTCAACTGAAATAAATAAGATACGTTATTTTATATGGTGATGTTGAATTTACAGTTTGTAAACAGAACAAACAATGAAAATAAAGTCAACAGAATTGCTCTCAGAGGTACTGTATCAGCAATACATTTTGCCAGCTTTGATATTTAATTACCCAATCAGTTGTCTTAATGCGAAACTGGAGAAGTCTGGGTGAAAATTAAGTAGCCCCAGACCACTGACCACACGATATGCTCACCCCTATGAAGGGCCTTAGCAACAATGACTACCTTAACTAGGATTCCTTCATTTATACTGAATATGTTCATGGCTAGTTAACCCATACCATGACAAGAATTCTTATGTACAATTTTGTTTGTATTTACAATTTCACAACATCACTCAACCCCTACCCCACCCACTGTCCACAAATTAATGTTTTATTTTCCTGAATAAAAAAATAATAATATTATTTAGCAATATAAATTAGAAATATTAAAATTGTAATCAGAATTTTTATAAAAGAATCATAAAGAAATTTATCAGTAAACAAAGCTTTAATAAGTGTTGGTAAATTTGTTATTGTTAATTTCCGAGTAAATTTAGTTTGAATATTGCAGAGACTATCATACTGTACTGTGAAACACTTTGATTTTGTGCGAGACAAAATCACGAAATTTGTGGCAGTGAACATTTTGTTTGGATCTTTGAGTCAGTGATTTTTCGTCAAAATTTTATTCCCACAAAAGCCCTTAAATTCTCAAGTCACAAAAATTGATGAAGCATGAACATAAAATTGTTAAAGCGTTACAGTTGACACATCGCACCATGTTCGATATGGGACCCATAATGACATATACAACGTGTAAAATACATTATTTACTCAAAATGTTAATGTTTCCTGTGTGACAACTGGCGCTTTGACACTATTTTCTCATACGGCAGACACTCCGTATGAGAAAATGGAGAAGCAGCATCCCCTACCCTACCCCAACTATGTTGATATATACTATGGACTAATTTATTTTCACTGAAAACAATACTATGGAACATTGAATTGTATTTATTTTCAAAAATTCTTCATGCCAAATACACACAAGGCTTAATTATTCGGTGGGTTTAATTTTCATGCTAAATTAAAAAATAGTAGTGAACATGTTAGGTTAGAAATTATTGTTTCCTTCATAAACCAGCAAAATTAAAACATAGTTAATATTCAGGCAATCTGTTAAAATTAAACTTCTTATTTTTATTATATTATTATATTTCTTCTTTTACCATATATGAAGGGAATGAGCAAGTTTTACTGATGTCATTATCACAACCAATCTACAGACAGCTAATGATTGTTTTATCAAGAAAAAGAGTTTTTGAGAAAATAAGATAAATTGAAATAAACAAGTTTCGAGTTCTGCAGTTTACATGCTCTTGAGTAAAAACATTGCAATTTTGTCAGCGTCGAGGGGGGTGATTTTGCAGCTTAAGGGGAGCCTGCAAAAAAATTGCACAAGCTAGAAACCAACCCCCCACTCTCACATGAGAACTGACTGATGACACTATAACTTAAAACTCGTCTATTCGACATGTTCACATGCATTTAATTTAGCGAATTCCACTCATCAGCGAAAATCATGAAATTAAAACCTATTGAATAATCAGTGCATTCACAGTACTATGAGAAGTATGATCATTTAAGGAATCAAACTACACTCACAGAACATGGAAAATAAATAAATGCATGTTTTTTTTTCACTGACAGATCATTGATGCGTTGTCATGCTGAGGAGTCAATCCTCATCCTCCTCTTCAATAGTATCTTTTATCATTGCTGGGAAGACACGTCCACCATTATGTAACAGAGAGTAGACACTCCGATAAAACGGTATGTAACTTGTATCATTGGGATTTAATTCTTGAAGTATGGGTAATACTTCCTCTGCAACCAACTAGAAACAAAGACATTCATTGATTTAGTCAGCGAATTGTATTTGACATATGAGGACACAAATGAAAAAGAACGTCTGGTAATTGGTTCTTGAGATATCAGTGAAACACACACACACACACACACACACAAACATACACCATTTACCATCATTGTAACAACACACATTGGATTAACTTTTAATATAGTTGATTTAATTTTTAATATAGTTGCGTTATGTTGGATTAAAAAGGGACTCTATATAGGGTTGCTTTTAAATTCAAGTTTAATTAAACTCAATTACAATAAAATTCGACATAGAATTTTTTTTTAATTCAAGTTTAATTAAATAAATGTTGAATATCCTGTGACTTAACACATGCGAAGCTTAGGTTTAGTAAAGGGGGTTGGTGTGGTACAATTATATTAAACTAAACCTAAGCTACGCAAACATTTCTTTGTATAAGTGAATTTGATTAAATATTAATGTAAATTATAAAAATAGTGAGGGTCTTAATTTAGTAGGTCTCTCATCACTTAGTAGGTGTAAATGAAAGTCATTATAATGTTGACACTACAAACAGACACATACATACTAACTGCAAAGACTCCAGTTACGTGCTTTGCACGCAGGAGTAAAAAGGATTGGAAAACCAAGTATACCACAGTCAGTGCTAGATGTTGGAAATGTGGAAATTGAACAAACCTGGAACAACATTTCCAAGCAATAATAAGTTGAGAAATAGTAAAAAATGGCCATCATTCACCCATATTTGGTCAGAAGATAGAAGCAATAAATGAACTTAGCCCAGTCATACCTGAGAAATAACTGTAGACACATTTTAGAGCGAGAGGGACGTCACTTGCGCACACGCGAGAATTGAGTCCCAAGCGACGATAACAACACACACTAAAACACAAAGGCTCATTGGCAGACGCTTGTTTGTGAACAATGACACGCTATGACCATCTGACGCATGCACAGGTGACGACTCCCTCGCTTTAATGAATTTTATAACAATTGCTAATATTCCAGAGCCTTGCTTGCTACACTTCATTTGTATTGACTTGTAAATTCACTCACCTTTTCAAGTTGTATCTGAAGTTGTAAGACGACAATGTCATGTTCCAAGGTGATAATCTTTTTCAATTGTTCAACATTGTTATACAATAAATATTCAGTACTTTCTCTGACAATTTTTCCATTCTGAGGTTTTATTGCACCTATACATAAACAAAAAAATGATTTAAAGCCTACCTTCTGAATTGAGAATATACATGACTGCTTATCAGTTATTGGTACATAAAATCTGACCCAAGCCATTGTTTAGCGGGCACAATTGAGGTATTACGTGGTTTCTTACACCACAAATCTGACAGTGTCAAGGATTGCTGAAAACTGGTAGCAATTGTACATTTGTACTGAGGAAACAAATTCATACAGCATTTTCTTCAAATTACCTCTAACACATGACTACTAAGATATTTTACGTTACATTTTTGAGAATTTCAGTATTCAGTACTCTTATTGGTTCTTTGTTTTCATCTTGTATACTAGTAATTTATTCTAGAGTGGATCTCTTTATTGTCTCCAATCTTATTAGCACCATTACATTACAGTGGATTCTAGCATTCCTAACTAACCCAATACAAATTGTAAGCAACTCACTTTCATTAAAATTCTTTGGTGGCACAAGTAGATGTTGTGTATGTTTCTGATACAATTCATTCATATGTTGTTGGACATATGTACAATCACCACATGGACATCCATTAATTAATTGTTGCTCCCCTGTGTATAAAAAGCATGAGATGTACGACATGACTATCCATTTTCAGCTTCCAAGTGAATCATTGTAAACAATTTAATTTTCACTGGTAGAAATTTCAAGATTTTTGTGAAGACAAAATTTTGCTAAAGTCACTGGCATGCCAAAGAAATTTTCAGTGGTTTACAATATCTTGTTACTAGAACACACCTGTACACATAATAACTTTCATTTCATTTTTACTTTATTTATAATGGACAGCCTGTTACCATATGCCTATTTTATGACAAGTTACAGTCATCTTGCGGTAATGCATTGCTCTTATCAACAAAAATACTGCAATTGTTTTTACATATACCGTTGAATGGGGACAGGAACAGCAAACAGAACTGACAGTTTCATGTCCCTCTGATGGAATCCAAGTCTGGCAATATTTCACAATCTCCTTGATGATGGGCAGATATGCTAACCATATTTCATTCAAAGCCAACCATTTCATTTAAACACTGGGCTGTTAACGAAAGCTGATTATTACATCAATTGTGAGGTCCTTCCTCAATCCTGTTCCAGGAAAAGACATGAAGTAAAAATTTAATCATGGACACCACTTACCAATTATTAAATGTTGTATTTCTTCCTGCATTTCATAATATCTTGCCTTGATCTCACCAATCAAAAATTTAGTTTGATATAACTCTTGCCATGGGGATTGCTCTAAAATGTAAGAAAACAGGAATTAATTATTAATAATTAATTATTTGTTTATACACAACTACATCAATGTGATTGCTCAGATACAATCATACCATACTATTGTTAGATTCCTATAGAAGAAAAGTTGTATGCATGAACAGAGGACGAGAGCAGCACAACACTAGACAGCTAAAACTGTTGCAAGCCTGTCAAGACGACAGTGTGTACAGCCGACTACCAAACTGAACTCTGCTATAAATGTTACCCCACATAAAGTCATAATTTCTGACAGTGACCAAATATATGAATATTAAATTTTATTTTATTTATGTGACACAAGAAAAGTACACTGTAATTAACCCCTACTATAAGTGCCTTTATAAATACTTTTCTTTAGCTGGAATTAATTTTCACTGAAAGGATTTTTTGGGTGTTTTGTGTGGGATTTATTTTCATTGATTTCTGACGAGTTGAAAGTGAAATATAGGAAAAAAGGTATACTGTGAAATACTTTATTTTCACTGGAATTAATTTTCGCTGAAAAGGCTTTTTGAGCGTTTTGTTTGAAATTTATTTTCACTGATTTCTGATGACTTTAATAAGAAATATAGGAAAAAAAGTATATTCACCGACCAAAGCAAGCGACCAATCATAGTGACCATGAATAATTTGAATGTGCTTTATACACTGAGTGCAATGCACTAATGGTGAGTGGTATGGTGAGTGGGGACGGGTATTTATTGTGTTTCCTGCCTATTTGTTATTATTATCATATCACATGTCTTCTATATGGTTCCCATTGCATGTGTAAAACATATTGTTTGTTTATGCGAAATCTGATCATGTGCAGTTACCTTGAAGTTTTAGGTAGTTGGTTACCATCAAAACAAATGATCAGATTTCCTTGTTCACACAATGGTTTTATCATTAGTGTTCACAAAATCTGGTTAAAATATATAGTCGCCAAACTACTTTTTGCACAAACAACCATGAAGATGGTGATTTTTGAGCCATTTACCAATGATTTCTATGGTAAAAATTTCTCATCATATCTCAAAATTTTGTTATGTCATATATGGCGGAAAAAATCATAAGTGCTTGTAAAATGGTTACTTGTGGTTGTCAAGAATCATTAGAAAACAAGCCATGCATGGCACAGTCCCCGTTAGTTATCAAATTTAAGATATATAGTTTTGTTTATAGCAATATAGCTAGAAAAAAACATGTCAGGAATATGATTATGATGATTGTTTAACATTAAAATGATTGACATTTGTATCTGATCAAGTATTGAGAGATATTGCTCTGGAACACCATTAATTAAAACAAAATCAGCCATTTTGAATACATGTATAATGAATATATAAAATTTGAACATAATCAGTCAAAGCATGTCAGAGATATGGAACTAGAGCTGCAATCATTAATACAATATGGCCACCAGTCGACCATTTTAAATCCGATCTGAAAAATAAAATGACGTTCATCAGGAACCCATAATGTCTAATGTATGTACCAAATTTCAACAAAAACCATCCAGAAATGCTTGATATTTTATGATTTTTTAGCACAAAAATGGCCACCATTTGGCCATTTTGAATAGGATCGTCAAACCAATATATCTGTATATCTACGACATAATTTATAATGAATAGTTAAAATTTGAACATAATCAGTCAAAGCATGTCAGAGATATGGCACTAGAACCACATTCATTAAAACAAAATGGCTGCCAGTCGGCCATTTTGAATCTTACATGTATCTGAAAAACAAAATGATGTGCATGAAGGTCCTATAATGTTCAACGTATATACAAGGTTTGAACAAAATCCAACTGTAAACAGCCGGGAAATGCTTTATTTTGATGAATTTTTAGCACAAAAATGGCCACCATTCGGCCATTTTTAATAGGATCCTCAAATATAACCACACACACGGAGGTCAAAACATAAGTCCCCGTTTTCGAACTTGTGCATAATGTTAAATAGATTTTCGTAACCATGTGCTGCCATCAAGAATTCTAAAGCATGTATCAACAGGAAGTTGTTTTTCTGCTTTGTTGGCAGGTTTTCCATGGCCACTTCTCACTGTTACTTCAATAGTTCACAGTTACCTACTTTTTGGACTAATCCCAGTTAGGAGACTGAACACTAAACATCACATGATGGGATGACATCATCAAGGTATTGATCAGCCATCGCCCTTAAAAAAGGCCTTATTTATAATTTGATGGACTTGGTGGACCCTGAGATGTTGAAACCTCAATCACAGCTGAATCTACATAAATGCTCAGTGATGTTTATCTATCTGCAAACATTCTCTGACTCTTGATATCTTGTGGATACCGTAATTGTTGAATTTGGTGTACATGCATGTCACATACTTCATAACTATATCCAATAATACAACTATAAGCAGGTAGACTGCTTAAAGTGGAGGAGTCGTCACATGCGCGTACGCCAGATGACCATAGCGTGTCATCGTTTACAAACAAGCGTCTATCCATGAGCCTTTGCGTTTTTAGCACACGTTTTTATCGTCGATTGGAACTCAATTCCCGCGCATGTGAAGGTGACGACCCTCCTGCATTAAAAAAAAACATGAAAGTATTTGCAAGCTCATTAATATTCATGACCATTGGACGAGTGAGATTTCGACAGACATATTCATACCTGAAAGTTTGTTCATATTGACAAGCACCATATTTGTTATTTGCACTAGATGTTCATATTCTGATTTGAGTCCATCAACTCTTCTTACCAGCTCTTCCTCGGATAAACTCACAGATCCAGCTTGAAACTAAAACGCAAATTGTTAAAGAAAACATACACACATACAGTCTGGGTAACAACAAGAACTCTCAAAGTGTGTTTTGATTATGGGTGTCAAAAATTGTATCTTATGCAAGATTTTATACTGATTCAAAACATGTGTTAGTTTGAATAAGCATTGACAATGCACAGTCCCTGTGCGTTTTTTACAGGTAGTCGATCTCAGTGTATTTTAAAAAAAGTATGACATGCACACAATGCATGATCATGATACAAAGTTCGAATGAAATCGCGCTGTACATCTCAGAAAAGTGACCTCGGACACGTTTAGCAATTTTGAGGACCAAAATATTATAATCAAATGGTAATAACAATTGTGTGCATATGTAAAGTCATCATACATGGTTTGTGTGTTAAGTTTGAATGTAACTGGTTAAAGCATATCTGAGAAATGACTCCTGACAAACGCACATACGGACAGTACCCTTGTCCGAAATGGGGACTATCGGTAAAACTTTTAAATTTAAATTTAAGATATATAGTTTTGTTTATAGTAATATAGTTTGAACATTAACATGTCAGAGATATGAATCCAGAAGCTGATGCTTGATTATGATGATTTTTAAAACTGACATTTAGTCATCTTGTATCTGATCGTTAAACGAGTATTTGTCTATATTGAGGGATATTGATGTGGAACAGCATTAATTAAAACAAAATGGCCACTTTGAATCAAATTGTCAAACCAATACATCTGTTATTTGTATAACATGATGTACTGTATAATGAATATATATAATCTGAACATAATCAGTCAAAGCATGTCAGAGATATGACACTAGAACTGCATTCATTAAAACAAAATGGCCACCAGTTGGCCATTTTGAATCTGATCTGAAAAACAAAAAGACGTGCATCAAGGTCCCATAATGTCAAATGTATGTACCAAGTTTGAACAAAATCCATTTGTAAACAGCCGGAATGCAAGATTTAATGATTTTTCAGCACAAAAATGACCGCCATTCGGGCAACTAGAATCAGATTGTGAAACAAACTGAGTATGAGTGAAGTTTGGATGAAATCGGCCTAGGCATGTCTGAGATATAAGACACACACACATCTGCACACACATAGGTCAATCCATAAATCCTCCTTTTTGAATGACTTCCAAATATGGACTAAAAATCATTTGAGTTTTCGTGAGTAGAGACAGCATGGATTATATTAAATAGATGGGCCAGTTATGTAATCTGGGAAAGAAACATCAAATATATACATGTATTATATTAGTGATAATGGGTTCTGTGATCCATTAGGTATATCACAAAAATGTTTAAATCATAAAAGTATCATAATAAATATTCTGTAATAGGCCTTACATTTGGTCGCTTAAAATCATACAATGTACATAAATTAATAGCACACATAATTATATATACATGTGCAGTACTTGAATATTCAAACTATTCTTTCCATTTTGCATTCGTGCAATCCCAAGGACTTCCAAAACCACGTTTTAACTACTCAGTGTTACAAATGCTTTCTCTCACTAAATCGCCACTTGCGATATTCAGACTCTGAAACATAAAAGGATACGTCTGTTTCCAATCTGTCGATGAAATGATTTGATGCTACTTTTTTAACAGGCTTCTTGAGTACACTAGCTGCCTTCTCTTTCAATTTCCGGTTTGCAGAGTGCACCTTTTTGAATCTGACAGGGAAACTCAAATTAGATCTGTAAATGAGAACAGGAAAGTCATCAGAGATTGGCAGATCCCACAGCTTTGTTTTTTGAGGAGTGGATAACCAATTTTTTCTGCAATTTTTACTTATATTCTTTAATATTTCTGGAAATGAACCCTAATTTTGGAGCCAACAGACAAAATTTGAGTCAATTTTCAGTTTTTACTCATAAAATTTGGCTACTTTTGACCCAATCTTTTGTGAATTTGTAATGAAAAAATGTAACTGGTGGTCAAGGTAACTACTGTAATTTTATCGAAGGACTGTGGTTTATCTACTACTACAACTACATATAAATTATATAACGGAAAGTAGTGTGCAACTCAATTAGGGAGTAGATATGGGTGTCTTTCACCAGAACTGTATGCTCATCACACAGACCAAATTTCAAAATGAATGTTGAAATTTTTTTTAGTAGTCCCAACTTAGTAGATTCTGTATGGACAGATGATTGGTATTCAGTAATATATGCAAATGATAAGAATGCAATATACCGGTACCCCGGTACTTCTTATTTCCATCAAAAGTATATGATTTTATAAAGACTAGCATTCAAGACAGACACTGTATATCACTATGCTGGGAATAATAAGCCTAGATCTATCGATACAATATGAGGGACACTAATTCCACAATATGCATGCTGGGACTGAATACAGGCAATAATACTGAAAGCCTACATACATTTGGTAATTAAGAATTCTGTCAGTAGTGTGCTACACATGCAACACAGATGTTGGTGGTATTACTATAACAGTGCTTGATTTCAGTTTTTCCAAGTAAATCAAAGTTATAAGAAAGTATACTGATATTAGTATGGACAGTAAAATAGTAATTTTTTTTTGTTCAACATACCCATCTTTTAACAAGGTGAATGGTTCGTCTTCTTTTTCTTCTCCAACGTCATCCTTGTCCGCATAATCACCCTGGCAACCACTGGAAGCTGAATCTATTTGACAAGGAGCACTGCTTTGATTTTCTTTTATCTGAAGATGTTCTACTAAATCACAAACATCTGTTGTCGCACTATCTTTTAGTGCAACACTATTTGATTGAATCACACAGCCTGAATCATCAGTCAGTGATCCTGACCTTGATCGCTGAGGTCCTTCACAGACTGCGTGTTCTGGCCTGTCTAACGATCCAGATCTTTTGACTGCGGCAGCTCCTTGCTCTGCAGAATTTGACCTTGAACTTGGTAATCTTTGTGTTGCAGGCTGCATCTTCGACTGATACTTTCCGATTTCAGAAGAGCTAGTCTTGTAATGTTGCTTGATGACAGTATTTTTATATTGAGGTGCTCTGTGTTTGTTTGTCGATGTTGGCTTTTTAGATGCTGCCGAGCCTGTTCTCTTGTCTGAACTAGCACCAGTCCTTTGTAATTTTGTATCTACTAGTAATCTATCTAATGTACGCTTGGAGATGGTAGCTACATGACTACTGCCAATTGGGGGCTTATTATTTAGCACACAATTTTCTGCTTTCTCTGCTGACAGCACATCCGACGATGACAATTTAGTAAGTGGTTTTGTTGGAAGAGTTTTGTTCTTTTTAGCTTTGACTTCATTCTGTGAGGAAGAAAATATCGACAATTTAGCTATTTAGATACACCAGATGAACATTCATAACAAAAAACACAACAAATTACTGCTGGAAGCAGAAAGAAAACTATAAATAATTGACATTTTTACACAGTATATTACGGATGAATATGTCTTTACATAATAAAATCATATTCTGACATCTTTTGACTTTCGAATTCAAAATACCGACTTTCACGATGTCTGAATGGCTAATATACGCACTATTAAACAGGAAAATCGCCATTTCATGGATATTTATTCTGATCAATCAGAGACCTTGGTCAAATAGAGGCTACAAATCGGTGCATAGTGTGCCAAATTTAGATTTGTCTACAAGCCTGTATGATGAGATTCACACAAAGAGAAAACTAATTAATGTATTTTCCCACCTTAGCCTGTACTTCTCTTGCCTTCTGGGCTCTATGAAGCATAGCATCCAACAATGCCAACTCTTCCGCTTCTTGTTGGCCTAGCTCTTTTTGAAGCACAGACTTTGATACTGCATCTGAAGCTGATTGTTGTTTGGCACGTTTCTTTTTTGGGTCCACTTTTGGAGGCCACGGTCGGAGAAGCACTCTGTAGTCTTGACATGTTTTCTCTGTGGCTGATCGTTTGGCTTCACATCGTTGACAAACATCAAGAAGAAAATGGATTACCCTGAATATGATAACAAAAGGTAATGCTTTTAGTTACAAAAGCAGCACATCATCAGAATTAATCAGTAATACTATATACATGTATGAGTAATACATGATACAAGCATTATGGCTAGGTGTGTCACTAGGGCGTGATTGACAATTTATACAGTCAAATCTATATTAGAAACTGCAGATTAAATTAAAATGGTGCAATGCAACAGAGGGGACGTAGCTTCTCTTAGAGCATCTACATATATGAGAAATAGGGAATTTTTGGTTGTCAATTTTCAAAAAAAAAATGGGTACGGTTTCTATTAAGGATGCAGCTTTTAATACAGATTAGAATTTATTTTTAAAATATGAGAAATGAACGTTAAATGTTATTGCTGATGACACATTACAAATTAACAATAAAAAAAAATACTTGGTATAATGGAAATAGTTGTATATTACATTTTTTTAATGTTTCTTTTAACAAAGTGTAAAGTAGTGCTAAAACTGCACATGTCATGTACATGAAGATCAATCATAGTAAATTCATCCCAACGCAAAATTGATAAAGAATTACTGTACAAGCTTCAAGACATCAACTTTGAAGAAACTTGAAGTTGGAAGTGTTGCTCAAATCATAATACATGACCCACATCCTATTGTGTCAATTCATTTTCACCCTGTCATTGTTGTGGCTGTTAGCAAAGCATGAGGCATAATCGGTCAGTTTATCCTTGATTTATTAAAACTTGCTATGTTCAAACTTGTGATGTTAAAATTATTAAGTTCAGATTGCTATTAAAGATAAATGTTGAAAAGTTATTCAGAGGATGTGTGTGGGTGGGGTGGTGTGGCTTTATAATCATTATTTTGTCAGCCCATTATCCTCTGTTTTTTACATACATACAATGAATGTACTTATATGTACAAAAATTTTTACAAATGTACTCCCAGATATCAAAAGTAATAAATTATATTTTGTGCAACTTCATAGTGTGTGAATGAATAAAAAACATGTCATCCCATTTCAAAAAATTCCAAAGGTGATTTAGATACTTAATCAGAATCACCATGCTTGGTACAAAACTTGGAAACTATAAAATTCTTATTGTTGTTGGGTGATGAAATAACTGTCAATAAACTGCCCGACTGTGATTGCTTGCTTGTCTGCTACATATTATAATTATGTTTTTGATTCATTTGAAGTAAAATTATTTTCAATTTTGTATTTGAAGATTTTTTAATGTCCAATGAAAGTTGGTGGTGTACAAAAAATGGCTTGCATCCCTATTTGGTTATTCACATATACATCTTGCCATTTAGGACTCGGAGCCTTTTGTTGACAAAAGTCAAGGCTTGTTTGGGTACCCTCTAAGGTGATTAACAAACAGGCACTAAATGTTCATTCAATGGCTGAAATTGGTTATAGTGGTTATAGCGATATTTTAAAGGGCGATGGTCGTCATGTTCGCTATGGAACTCATAATGACATACACAAAGCGCGTGAAATACATTGTTAACATGACGCGACGCGCGACGACCACCGCCCTTTAAACGCCAGTGTTAGAAGGTGGAAAAAAATAGTATTTTAAATGAAATAGTTTGTTACAGTTACTAAACAATTTGCCATCGGTCCACATTTCGCAAAATACACAAGTGATCAATGTTTAGTAGTATCAGCAACCAAGTGGTAAGATACCAGGAAGAGGAAGTGGAAGAGGGAAGTGCATTTTTTCACAACTCCCAGTTCCCGTTCCTTCCCAAATACGAAGAAAAACTGGAAGAACTACATTGTGACTTTTTAGCTCATGTGGCGTGTTACGTTCAGACAACATTAACACACGCTCTGTATGTTTCATTATTCAATGTCATAAGCATAACATGCGAAAAAATGTAAAAATTCTAAGAACTATACCTTTCTAAATTTGAACAGGGCGCCGCCATCTTGGTCTATAGGGGCGCCCTCTATATCTAGTCAATTAATTTGATTCATGCTGTCGCTAATATTTTATTCTGCAATGTTTTGCATTCGCACAGAGCAGTCGATTTAGTTTTATGCATTTATTGTATACGAGTCTATATACTGTTAAAGATAATGGGAAAAAAACAAATAATTGGAGGAATGATGTAGCAGTCAATTTACCTAACACCCCTTCGACCAAGCTAAAGAAACCCCACAGAAACTGTGACCTTTCTTTTCGTTGAGAACTCCATTTGGCGTTTGCTCATAGTAAGTGGCTCTCTCTGTAAATACGAAAAGTATATACGAAAATTAGAAAATAGATAGGTTCAAAGCAAATTCTGATGTGTTTGAAAACTGGTATACGTGTTAACATTTTTTGGGGAGAAAATAATTGCATCAAACACTATTTCATGTGCGTTTTTGGGACCGGATATGGATTCTAAACACACGTGTTACAGTATTAGAAAGACTTCCGGTATTCTTGGACAGTCTGTGTACGTTCTTTCGGGTTTCTTTTGGAAGTGGTTTAGTTGTTCATGCAAATCGCTAACAGTTATGGTATGGCTATGTACTTGTAACTTGCAAACTGCAGTGTTTAAAGATAAAAATGTTAAAATGTAATTATTAAATTTTTTTTATGATTACACCGAGATAACTGTTCTGTATTCACACGTCATACTAAATTACAATAACTTTTATTGACTCCTACTCATTCCCTGGGGGTGGGGGTGGGGAGGAAATGGTCACTAAAATGCACATAATAGGGATAAAAAGTAATAAACTAAGATAAAATCACTGAAATGCTGACAAAATTTGAAAATCAAAATTGTTTGTGTCTGATATGACTTTTCTGGTTAAAAAGCATGCTTAAAAAAATGTATGCGCACGCACATGTACACAACTGACTTTCAAATTCAAGTAAAAAGAAAATGTTTGGTTGTCTGGTGGTGTTTCTGTCTTACATTTAGGCAAGTGCAACTATGTTGCACATTTCATTATTGCTCATTAAGAAAATGAATTTTTTATTTGGGGTAATACGAGTTAAGTTTGTTTCACTCATAGAAACTGATTCAAATGATAACTTTTCTTTGTTTCTTAGCCGTGCTTGTACTTGTACAGTTAACATTTCTAACACTTAATCTGGAATCTTCATTTGTTCATTCATATATCTTCATAATTTCTCCATATCAGTGGTGCTTTACAATTATTGAGTAAATTACCTCTAAATGGTAGACTACATCTTAGTTGATCATTCAGAAAATTTGAATAACCATATATAATCAACAAAACAGACTATAAGTGTATGGCTACAGACTAGAGAATGCTATTTTTGGTTTTAGTGAAATTTTTAGACGGGCATTTTCAATTTTCTGGCTAAACCTCGACTACCAATAAACAAATATTGACTGAAAACTTCTGTCGAGTGATTATTAGGATGTAGTCTATCATCAGATGTAATTGAGAAATTGCAATAGTTTTTTGGTCGAACAGATAATTTGCAATGCACTGGCTTTTAGTTTTTATCGTTCCCAAATTTAGGTTTCTTGATTTTCCCATGTCTCTGAAGACGAGATTTATGTGCATAAATTATACATGTACTGCACAATGCACATAAGTATTCTTTAAAATTAAGATTAAATATTCAGGGTGGCCCATAAAATATATTTATAGACCAAACTAAAACTTTTCCAGTATTGACTTTAATTTGAAATGATTAATGTATTGTGACTGCATTGTGCAATTACACCAACTTTAAAAGCACTCGATTCATGAGTATCTGTGTTCATAATTGCATAGGTTGATCATCGTTACGTTTAGATCAACGCAGCACGATGTCCGGAGGTCTTGATGCGTTGGCTTTGAAGGAGGAAGATGTGACAAAATTCCTGGCTGCAGGTTCTCATCTGGGCTCCACAAATGTGGACTTCCAGATGGAACAGTATGTGTACAAGCGCAAGAATGATGGTGAGTCTAGCTTTTAATTTCTTCTGACCTACACATCTCCATCTTCGTGTGTCATTTGTTTTACTCTATTCTTTGAGACCATTAGCTTTCTCATGTGGATACTCTGAACTAATTTAGTCATTTGTGACAAATATACCCACACTCTTAGAAACTGACATATTCTATTCAGTCTTGGTTTAAACAGTTAGCTTGATGACACACTGTACATTATGGAAATTTATTGATCGGAAATGCATTGTTTTGTTAAATGTATTACTACTTACCGGGTCTAGGAATCTTAAATATCTGGCTGGCTTTTCATAATGTTGAATTGTTAATGTTAATAATACTCGAATTTGGGTTTTCCCAAATGGCAAAATAACTGACTGTCACTAATAGTATTTAATTATAATAATGCGTTACATCATTGTTTTCTGATAGGTATGTACATTATGAACATTCGTAAGACATGGGAGAAGATCTTGATTGCAGCTCGAGCTATAGTAGCTATTGAAAACCCGTCTGACGTATGCGTTATTTCAGCTCGTCCATATGGTCAGGTAAAATAGAACTTGTATGATTTTTATTCCTGGTTGATATGAAAGAAGCAGACTGTAATACTATTAATTGAATAAGAATACATGTGTTTTTCAGTACCATTGAGGCAGTTTGACCAGAGATCCAATTTTGCACTACTGAGCATGTTACTGCAAATTTATGCAATGCATTATGAGTTGGCATACCTTCTATATTTGGTTTGTCTCTTCATTTTACTTTTGACAGTGAAAAAAGCATCAGAATATATAATTATTTGTATGACAGCTTCTGAAACAGTTTATTTTTTTGCGTGGGGTGGGGTGGTGTGACTTTCCAGTTGCAATTTCCAATTGCACTAATATTTCAATGAATACTGTACAAGAGCTGTAAGTCAATTATCATTTGCACCTATTGTTGACTGTATTCTTTCTCAAATTGCAGCGTGCAATTTTGAAGTTTGCAACTCACACTGGTGCCTCTCCAGTGGCTGGTCGCTTCACACCTGGTACATTCACCAATCAGATTCAAGCTGCTTACAGAGAACCACGTATATTGGTTGTCACTGACCCAAGAACTGATCATCAACCAATCACAGAAGCTTCCTATGTGAACATCCCTGTTATTGCTTTCTGTAACACCGATTCTCCATTGCGTTATGTGGATATAGTTATCCCATGTAATAACAAGGTTTGTATGAAATATTCTGTTTATTCTATCCAGTGTTCTCTCGGCGCCTGTTCTAGCATAGTGGCCTTTAATGGATTTAATTCAATTAAAGCTTTTGTGTGTAAACTAGAGAGTACAATCGAGCAGACAACACACTGCCCACAGCCAAAAGTGCATGTAATATAGACATTTTGACATTCTGGCTATAGCTGTACAACACTTGATTTAAAAATAAAATAAGGGATGATGCACTGCTATTATTGCATGTTGTAAATCGTCATGATCAGAATAAGAGCTTACTGCCATCATTTAAATGCAGGAATTGATACCTGACTTAACAAGTGTGAGCAAAATTGTCACCAGTGGCTGGTTAGAAGAATGTTAAAATCTAGATAACATGATTCGAGACACTAATTCTTGTACACATGATTTCATTTATGTATATTACACTTTTACAGGGAGCAAACTCAATCGGTTTGATGTGGTGGTTCTTGTCTCGTGAGGTTTTACGTATGCGTGGAACAATCAGCCGTGAAGTACCATGGGATATTATGCCTGATTTGTACTTCTACAGGGATCCAGAAGAGGTAAGCCTAAAATCGTATCTTGTCAAATAATGCCATTATGAATTCAGTCAACCACACCCAGGATACAACCATAATTGTTGCCACTCTGCTCAAAATCATTTACCAACATTATAAATTTTCACACCTTTTCTATGATTTTCGCAAAATGAGGACAACATAACAAAGTTAATAATATAGATGTGATTTGTGGAACGAATGTAAAAACACTATGAATAAAAATATGCAAGTGTCATGCCAATTATTATGCAAATTAGAAACTATCCTTGATCAAAATCCTGGGAGAACACTATACTACAACACCCCAAAACACTTTTTAACACAAATGCATCTCTAAATAGAAGCACTCATAGACACAAAATTGCATTTATCGAGTGCTGGATTACGAAAAACTTGTCTGTAATTTATGTAAATTCATGTGTAGCTAATATGAATAAAATGTCCTCCTTAATCTGTGACCTAGTTCAAACCTTAATTTCTAATCCTAATCCACAACCACGCACAATTGTTTATGTGAAGATACAACTTAACATATTAAGCTTAAATAACCACCCAGTACTAGTGTTCTTGCATGCCAAATGACACTCAACTTCAATCCATCAGAAACAACTTTTCAGACTTCAAGATTGAAACTATAGTTTTCCCTTTTTTGCCTAGGTTGAGAAGGAAGAACAAGCTGCCTTGGAGAAAGCTACAAAGGAAGAGCCTGCTGCAGCTCCTTATGCCGACCAATGGGGTGGGCAGCCAGCCACTGTGGAATCTGCAGCATCTGCTGTATCAGCTCCTGCTGTTTCTGAAGTCACTGATGTAAGTTTTCTTCTAAAATTGTCTTTCTTTGTCCTAATCGCACAAATTTGCCAACCCCCTACATGCACATGCTTGAACTTCAGAGGCATTGGAAGAGGGCTTTGTCGTGATGCCAGTTGAGTTTGCCTTTAGTGCCTTTGGTATTCCATATGTGCCATTTTCTAAATTAAAGCAAGCATGCATGATTCTACTGAGAAACTATGTATTTGACCTCTGTCAAATACTCCATGTATGTTGGCACAGCTTATGGCAGTGGAAATAAAACAAAATGACGGTATGTCAAAATAACAAATCAAGGCCTCACTGCTTCATACTTGCTGATGAGTACCTATCGCAAGGTGATGAGTGAATAAACGGACTGTGATTAGTGCTGATGTCACATTTAGGTGGTGAAATTGAGTATGCAAGGTGATATACCTTCAATGACATAATGGATCTGTTTCTTGCAATATTTCATTGACGTCTGTTTCCAGCCTCTGTAAATATTCATATGCATCATTTGGAGAAATGCTTGTTGCATAAAACTTTTTGCTTCATAACTACTGCAAAGCATGACAATGCCTGTTATTTATAAACTTAAATCATACGTATTAGTATCTTTTACAAAATTATTCTTAGCATTTTTTTTTGCTTATTTTTTCACTTTCTTTTCCAGTGGGGTGCAGAATCAGTTGCTGTTCCCAGTGTTCCAATCCAGCCTGGCTATGGTACTACAGATGACTGGGGTGCCCAAGAACCATCTACAGATTGGTCTGCTTCACCTGCTCCAGTAGCAGCACCTCTACCAGGTGCAGTGGCTGCAACTGCTACTACAGACTGGGGTGGTTCTGATGCACAGGATTGGTCATAAACCAGAACCTGACTCTGAAAACTAAGAAAACTGAATATTTCTGTCTGAAATGAACTCTAAAAAGGAATAACAAATGTTGCATCATTGAACATTTTGTCAAAGATATTTTGTAAGGATACAAAAATGTAAAATGTTCCATGCTTGGCATACTGAATAAATAAAACTGAATGGTTGATACTGTACCATATTAGTGTTGAAAGTTTTATTTTTGTACTATTAATAGATGCGCTGTGGTTGTACATTGAACATACTGTGTAGTATCCAATCCAGTTTTGCAGAAAAAGATGTGGCATCAGATAACTTAAAACAAATTTTAGGAGATTTTGTCAGTCAAGTTCCCAAAGCAAATGGGACTAAAGTTTATGTAAAAGAGCACGAGGACTCTTTGGTGATAGAATACCACAAAGAAATGTTAATAGGAAAACTTATTCAGTAGTGTCATTCTGAAATTGTCAAAGTGGATGTAGTGCATCATTGAAATTACAATAAACTCTCCTGTCATTTAAGTGCTCTCGTGCTACTAAAGAAGCAAATGTATGCTCATTATCTTGACAAACAAGTCTATATCGCCATTGATTGTTATCGCACTGGGATCCATCATGTTAACCTATTGGTTGGAATAGAACCATCTGGCCAGTATTGGTGCACAAACAATTAAACCATTTAGGCCAATTATGAAACTACACAAGAACAAAGGCAAAGAATATGTAGCTAATCCTTAAAACACCAATCTGGAAGCAACTTGTGGCAAAACATACACAACTCAATAGCCAGTTGTTAAATCAACAACCTAAAAAACGTAGCAAATTCAAAAACTACATATTATAATCATCTGGCAATTGCCAATCATTGAAGCAAACTACTATCTCGTCAAAAAAAGCGAAATAATATTTTAGTGAATTGGAAACACATAACCATCTGGCCAATTGTGAGACAATACAACTATTTAGCGAATCCTGAAACAAAATATAGCCATCCAGTGAACCAGGAGAAAACGCATGACCATTTAGCCAATCAAAAAACTAGTAACCATGTAAAAAAAAAACACCTTACAAACTAACTGAAGAACAACTAATTAATTGGAATTGGAAAAAACAAAACATAATGTAATCAAATCCAGACCACATCTTACAATATAACCAATCGAAAAACCACATAACTATCTAATTGAAAAACCACACCTAACTATCCATTTAATTGACAAACAACATATAACCATCTGCATCTTTTTTGTGTCTAAAAGCAGGTTTATGTAATTCTATTGCTTCAAAAAAGAATATTTCCTGCCATTACTTCAGTTTTGCATATTCCTCTCATCATTTTATCCTACATGTCTGCTTTTCTCCTTTCATTCTATTGTTTATCACCAGAGTGTTAAACGCATTGACAATATATATATTGTATTGTTTCAAATTCATCCCTTGATATTTGTAATTATATTGGCATGATTCGTATTGACAGGTTAAGCATTTGCTGCGAACAGTACCACACACCTATATATCACTTGACACACATGTAACTAATGTCTGTATTTGAGATGTGACATGTCACAATCAATTTAATTTAAAACGCCCTCGCTAATGTAAAAATTATGTTTTAAATTTATATGAATGAAATCAAGAACAAACCGACATTGTCTAAAATAACAAAGATCTGTGTACTATGATAAATGTAAATATTCTATAAAGAAAGTGCAAGAAGTTTAGCGACAGAATACTTAGATTACGAGCAATTCAACCGCATTGACACAAACTCAATAGAACATGGGTCTGAGTATCTCTTCATACACATTTGACAAATATGAACTCTTTCAATCAAGGCGTTGGATATTGTAAATTATTCAAAATGTCTCTCTAAAGCGGTGATTTTGAATCTAGTTGTCCCAAAGAACAATAAATCAAAATAGTTCGTACAAACATAAGGTTTTCAAAAATTGTTGAAACTTGTGGGGATAATGCACGTTCATAGAAGGCAATCCTGTATGCAAATAAATAGGACGCACACGAGAGACAATACTGATGTTAGTATACATATGATAAACAGAATACCAAAATTCATGAACCAAGATATCAGATTTAATAAAATCACGTCGTAGTTTTCATAATAGTCGCTCATTGGATAATCTCTATATTCCAATTTATCGTATCATTAATAATTATGTTCCTGTCCCTGCACATTCCCGTGCTTTGCAATTTTCATTACCCTCGTCTGTTTTAAGTTTATGACACAATCTGTCGATAATTCACTAGTCTTGAGTAAACCTTCATTCGTGGTGGGCATACCATTTCACTAGCTACTTTAGGGGGGAAATAGATTTTTTGGGACAAAACAAAAAATGCTTCACCACTCAACGACCATCCTGATTGCAATGTATTCTCTTAATATCTGAAATGGCTGATTAGTTTTCGTTTCTATAGCCATATGAATCTGTTCCGACACCGTAAACATAAGATGATGCATTTGCAACTATGTTTGATCTTGCAGTGTAATGAACTCATTGGTAAGTAAATAGTTTTCATTAATGGGGAATCCCCACCAAATGACACAAGTTCAGGTAACTGGAAATGTCACTTTAATTGTCACTATGCTATGTTCCTCAAGCAATCGACCAATGACACGGTCAGAGGCCAACAACAGATAAGCGAAATTGGCATCAAAGACTTGGCTTAACTACTCGCACAAATGGCAAATACTTTTGATCTTTCGATTTATTGCACAAAATAAAAAGCTTTATGGATTTACAGACCACAATTAATATCCGACAGCTCAAACACATTTACCTTGTGGAAGAAATTAATGACTCATAGTCATGTTTATGATAACACAATTATATGGACCGGGAATGATGTTATCATACAACTGGTACCAAATATTTTGTCTATTGTGTTACAATAATTTCTTTTTTCAAATCAACATCAAACAGTGTTCATCTATCAAGGTGTTTGCTCACTCAGACGTGGCAATTCATGGGGTTCTCAAAGTATGACTTCGTCCTCAAATGTTTTCTCAGTAAGGTCTTCTGCAACCAAATGCATGTCATTCTCAACTTCTTGTTCATCGTCCTCGTTGCATCCATCTAACAACATACGAACTAAGTCTAATCTGTCCATTCCTGAAAACACTCTACATAGGTTATTTTTTGTGAACTCTTCTGGTTTTGTTCGGTACCAGAGTCTTAATACAAGTTCCCCCGGCAGGGCATTGTATCTGCAATACGCATTTTCGAAGTCATCAATTACTGAATAATCGAAGCCTAAAACGTCAATTAGAAGTCGTCTCCACCCAGTTTCATCATCATTCAATAATTTCTCACTCAGTTTGACCACCATCTCATAGCTCAGCCATTGGAGTTTACGTTTCCGTTGAATGGTGTCTTGTATTAATTTATCAAGTACTGCACATTTTTCGCCAGGCTTAATCTGATACACAAAATGACAAATCATAAAAAAGTATATCAATAAGCATGAACCAGAAAACTAATGCGAAAACATAGTACCTACATACACCATATCGCAATAGCGCTATTGTAGGAGATTTATGTTAGATTGTACGAGCAGGCGTGCTTTGTGATTCGCGTAGTTGGGTACGATTCGGTCAAAACTATTCCGGAATGGCGATATGGTCTATTAGAGACGCATATTTTACATGTCGTTCGAGTGGAAACGTGCTTTGAAACGCACATGTTGTTTGTTTTTATAAAACATCTAAACACCATCAATAAAACACAATAACATATTTCTCTGCTGTTAACTGGTTCTTCGAACAGTTGCGTATTCGTAAAATACACTATCATCGTTGAGAGAAATATGACTCGCATATAAATGATTGCACGAACAGATCCCAATAGCATATGGATTTTTTTTATCGGTTTGTATTAATTTCGTGTGAACAAGAGATTCCATGGCCCTTATTCTTAAATTCCAGAATATTTTTTTTTTCAAAAACATTCCATAATATGCACATAAACAAACAAATCGTCGTTGACATGCATAATACTTACATAGTTCATAAAGTTAGTAGCAATATTGAATATCGTCTTGTTGATCTCGATTTTACAGTAAAAATTATAGTACTGTTGGTCTTCATGACTGATAACAAGCTGGTGACATTCGTCAATGACGTCATCATTATTTTCTCCTCTTTCCAAAATGCGTTTCAGTTCGTCATAGGGGAATTCCTGAAATATTTACATATTTGCATAACGATTGTGCCAGGATTAAAACATTGTCACTTGGTATTTTGTTCTGAGTATGTCACAAAACCCGCTATTTTAGTCGGTCGTGTTTGTAGATAACTATGTGGCAACACTGGTAAATATAAATTATTAGTTCATTTATATTAATTTTTCCATTGTCACACTTTTCTTTGATTGATGGACAGAGTATGAAATAGAGAATAATAATGTTTGACTGGAAAAACTACGAAACATGAAATTCTGAAGTCGCTTGGTGGTAAGTAGAAGGTCACAGCGCGCGCCATGAACTAACTTTGAACAAGCCCACGATCTGACAAAATATCATGTGCACCAGAAAACCCACCAAATGTCTGTAGGCGGCACGGGTACCGGACTCGCTAGTTTCACTAGTAACCCATTTACTGTGCTGATTTAAATTATATATTGATTGCGTAACTACAACGGGTGAATTGGATAATTTGTAAAATATTCTTGTACTATTTGAATACAAAGCATTACCTTATAGTCTGATCTACACCTGAATTTCCAACCGTTTGGTATCTCCGATACAGAAATCGTCAGTTTGTCATGTACGTCGATCAAACGTGTGTATAGCACAATATGGTCATCACTAGTCTTCAATTGTACAACCTTTTCTCGCTGTGATATGTATGAAATATGATATATAGTTGAATAATAATATTCTTTTCCTATAAACTACGCCCTCTCGCGGCAAAGTGTTCCCATGATGTCAATGGGTGAAACAAGGTTCGTTCAAAGCATCTATATCGTTTTGATGTTGATCTGTAGTCCTACATGGATGTAGATTATATTTTTTTGGAGACCCGATGACGAACACATTTTTCGATATTTACGACATTGCATTCACATATACATTTTGACGTCACAAAAACCTACAGGAATGGTGTAATACTGAAGCAGTTTGAGGAGGGAAGTATTATAGTCCTTGTCATATTTATGTTGTGTTAAGACCTATTTGAATGCAATATATCCAATTAATCTTGACTATTAACATATTAAAGATTCAATATGAATGAGAAAATGTGATTTTAAAATAGTGTCTGTTGAAGAATTACACTAAGATTATGTTTTATCGTTAACCGTTGTTTTTGTAACGCGACAAGATATTTGATCGATGAAACAATGATATTGTCTGATACATGTGCTATGCTTGTTTGATACCTATTATATAACAATCCCTGTACATGCGTATTGTTGCATTTCACTGTGTTGCAAAGCCATTTTTTACGATTCATATTCTATGTTTTTAATAACATACAGTATCAAAAACAATCCGATGGTTTCGTCTATTATACTTTTTCAACTGGATGGTTTGAGGCAATAAAACAAAATGAATTGAAATCAAATGCAATTGTCAAACACTATTAGAAAATACACATCATCGCCACCGGTAAGACTAGCACAACAACAAACGGAAGACATAAAATAGTGCATACTATTTCCATTGGATTTCTTTTCGTGTGAGTGATATAAATATCAATAATCCAGGTTCCTCCAAAGCTTGGTCTTCCGGCAAATATTGCAACTTTCACAGTCAAGGGTATCTAAATTAATACCAAATGTTACAGATGAAAATTAAACATATCAGATTGTATAACACATTCAAATATTTCAACAATAAACTTGAGAATCTATTTGTAAGTAGACGTGTCACACATACCAGGAAAGGTACAAATGATATTTTGCATGTCACAAAGATTCGGATGTTTGTTTCATAACAATGACCATTGGTATTTTACCTTCTTAGCCACATGTGGTGATGGTGATGGTGTCTGGGGTGCTATAAAGATGACTTGCTCAGGCGTTGTTGCAGTCGACCCCGACTCACTCGTATTTCTACTTGCAGTAGATATGTTATCCGACGTGCGTTTTACTCTGAGCTTTCTATCAACTGACATACGAATAAACGTAGCTTCCACTAATCCACTGGCATCTGAAGCTTTAGTACGGATGTATTTTCTGCCATCTGCATTGCATTCTTTCAAAATAAACACACTTTCACCATCGGAATATCCGTAATCGAAACATTCTAATTGTCTGTCCAAGTAACATGTCGGCTTCTTTCTTGACTTGTCAGACTTTGAACAGATTACAAGACGGTTGGTTAGAATATAGAGTCTATGTTCTCCTGCTGGGCTTCCACCAACACTTTCTGTAAGCGAGATATCGTAAAACTGGTCTGTTGGAAAATTATATCATACAATCATTGTTACTAATTTATTTTTTATTTAATAATTGTAAAGACGTGACTGAATAAGTGTCACACGTCTGAAACTGGATTACTGTAACAATGAACTTATTCCCACCCACGCTATGTTGAAACTATGAGACCGCCACCGTAATACTGACTTACCAATGCTGGTTTTGTACAATAATTGGATTGGGGTAGCGATGATACGACGGTATATTAATACTAATATTGTGCCTGGCGGCATTGTTTCCAATATTTATATACGTCTGAAACGTTGTGTAACTTCACTGAAACAATAAGCCCATATTTATTAGGATTGTAACTAACTGTTCCAGATAGAATACTGTCTACAGAATGTAACAGACAGTTTTAATTAGCAAAACTAATCATCCCTATAAAAAGGTGACCTATTTGCCTAAGAACTTAGTTATGCCTGCCCAGCGGAAAGCTCACCACAAGAACTAAACGAGACGGACTACAGGTAAAAACAGTTCAATAGATAAATATTCAGTTTTAATGACCAAAACAGGAATTTATTTACCGAGGTACAGCCAAGCTCAATAATTTCGTGGAGCAAACACGTGTTGAACAGAAAGAATAAAAATACCCCAATTTCAATTTATTCTGCCATAAATTGTACTCTCGGAAGATTGACTAAAAATGTTTGATGTCAACGGCCTATTGTTTAGAGAAAATACTGGTCATTTTTAGAACGCTTGTGATTCACAAAAGTCCAATACATCCTTAAAATACTCACTGTCTTCTAGCAATTCGCTCAGAATATTTTCTTTCCATGCTACTAACGTATTCTTCTCCCCATCGGACACAGACATACGCCGCATATAGGGCAGCCTTTTGAGCGAGATTGTCCTTTCATTTCCGTCATCATCTTTATAGACAATGACAAGTTTACGACCCCGTGTTTTTCTTGCACAAATATCCACAGTGCAGAAATTATCTTGCGTCAACTGGTAATACTTCCAAATGACAGAATCTTCAGGGTGCTTATATAAGTTAATATTCACTGTGAAGTGCAGATAAATAATTTATCAGTCATCAAAGGTAATGTGTCAATTTATGATAATTCCTGACAAATCTTCACCGCCCGGTTTGGCAAGATTCGCAATATTTTTGTTATACCACAGACCTTAGAAAACTGGGGCATGTAACTTAGACTAAAGATAATTCAAATTCCTGAATGCAGGGTGGGTTATAAATTCCAGTGCAGTTAATGTCTTATTCATATAACTGGTATACATAGCATATGCATATTTAGTTGTTACCTTTCAATGAATTTGTTTGAAAAGTAGTGCTGTGCCAAAGTTTCCATTATTATAACATTTGTTACTATGATACGGAGTTTGTTTACTCTTGTCGGCAGTTTTTTTTTATTGTAGAGGAATACAATCTGTCACCAACACAATTGCACTCGTATCAATATATTAAATTGAAGTATTAAGTTTTGATAAATATATTCATTCTGCTTATATTCTAACCACAAAGTTTGCTCATTGTGTGTAGCTGCACCCCGGCAGCCATTTTTAGCGGATGCAACAGAACATCCAAGACGTGAATTAGGTCGGTGATTATAACTCATGGTACATTTACGGAAAATCCACAGTTACATATTCCTGTTCTCTAAGGTCTATGGATGTGCATTTGCTGTGCTGCCATTGTGGGCAATATTAATTATTATATTTTATCATGTTATTTTACGTGCTATATTGTGTAATATGATGACAATAAATCAGTATTTAACTTACAAACATTTCCGGGAATATTACAGTCCCAGCCTGTTACTTCCAGTTCAGCTGTAACACGTCGCTGTAACAGAAAACAAATACAAAAGCTGTAAATTATAATTTGTGATAGAATGTTGATGATTACGAATATATTGTTAAAATCATTTAAATATTTTGTAATCCTTTTTTAAAGAAAACTAATAGTTTCCATTCAATCGTATTCGAATCAAAAACTGTCGTAACCACCATTCGGTGGGATAAAAATAACCAAATGTCTCTGCCATATTCCACGCAGTTAAAATTTAACAAACACAATTAAATATATGGACAAATCTGTGAGTGAAACGTACATCTTCTTCAGGCATATAAGCGGAAATGACGATGTATGGTGTATAATAGTACATGTTTGTATTTATACGCGCGAATAAGAAAAAAAAGCACTGTAGCTAACAATAATATATTCAATAGTAGTGAGTTGGTTATTTGTTGAAACATAGCCACGGTACCTATTTTCAGGTTGAGTACCACGTAACCCCACAACACGCCAGAGTCAGCTACAATTTGTTAAACGGCACTTCAATATTTTTTTTTCAATTTATTTTCGCAAGGATTCCCAGCATTGATAACAATTCTTTTATTTTCTCAGTTTCTATTGACTGTGATTTGTTCAACAAACGAAAACTTGATTGAAACGGAGATGTAGTCAATCGCAAATGAGTGTCACATGTACGAATTAATATCTGAACTGTTGGTCCATTTATTTGCAGTTCAACTAACCGTTAATATAGTGAGCATCCTCGATGACTTGAGTGAATTTGTTTTAATTTTTACTGGGAGTTTCAAGCGTTTCATGCTTAATTTGGCAACATGCATACTGCAAATATAACCCACATGACTAGGAAATCCGTTGTACATAACTATACCATCACCGGTTACCAAGGGAAAATCTTCGTTATTTGTAAAACATTCTCATTTAAAATTGTAAAAATAAATTACATCACGTAAAACGTGTCTCATTTTTATTTGGGACTGCAAAGTGGCACTGATTGCGAAATTGTTAGGTGCCGGACATATAACACGAATAAACGTTTTCGAAATACTTCTGTTTTTTTTTTAGAAGATTGGCATTATAATAGTTGTGATTCAAAATATATTAGCCTGACCATCAAGTCAGTCAGTCAGTCAGTAGACTGACTACTACATCACGTGACTCATTTAAAGAAATAATGTTGAGCCCTGTTTATTGTCACTAGATTTGTTTTAATGCGATGCAGAAGTTGCACTCGTTTTCATCATTGGAGAACAACCTCGGACTGAATCTATCTAAATAGCCAGTAAATCCAGACAGTTTTCATCAAAGAAATTGTCCCATTCACCAATAGCAACTTTTTAAATTAAGGCTGAATTTTTGCTCAAGAAACGTCGGAAGTGTGTCTTTGCTTGTCGCCAACTAGGTATTCGGGTAGGATCTTCTAATATTGGAGACCTTTCTCGGGGATAACAGCTCGTTCACTCTGATAAATACACACACGATAGTCGAAGCCGAAGTCACCGCTGCAAGCCGTAACTTTATTCACCTATTTACAGAAATTATATAAAGTTATGCATTCTCGAAATTTGTTTGACAAAAGCTCTGCCCTCTGAATTTGGACTTAACAATCTCATGATAATGACTCGTCATATCCGAAGCTTAAGCCAATCGCTTCCGTTAAAATTATTAGTATTACATAATGTCACTTCTGGGGTTGTTTTGTATCTAGCAACGGCGACTTCGAGAGTCCAGATTATAGTTATTAATGGCGGACAGTTTCACAGATCGTTACACTTGGTTAGGGTCACACGGGGTCAATTACTCGCTTTAAACTGATGACGTCATATACTAGTATGTCAAACAATAACGTCAACTCAGGTTAACACAGGTCTATAACCATCAGAATAATCTGTCATAAAATTACGTTTATACCTTTCCCGGAAATATTGTCCACTAACCCAAAATGCAAATAATATTACACAGGATGCGAGCGACATCGAAATGCGCTGATAATAACTGTATGTCAAAGTACGAGAACTTTAATATAAGCACCCCGGCTTATGTATGACCTATTCCTCAGAGGTCAGTCAGCCACATTGTAAACACAATTGAACAATTCTCACCACGTTAATGGAGCCATTAGATAATAAATTCCGTCTTTGCTTAAACCTAATTGCAAAGCTTCAAATGTAACTTTTTTCCTTTTCTCAGTCGTGATATCATTTCCCGAATATACAATGTGGACATCTCTCCGAGTCGCTCGCACGGTATTGTTAACCCCTCTCAGTAATTCATTATTGCCCCGACAATTCAAAATGAGTATGGGATGATCGGGGTGAAACAATGCACACTCACCGTAAGTTTTTTAGTAGTCTGTTTAACCGTCACATTCCCACTGAACAGCAGGTCAGATTTTAGCACCACACGCTGCTTGTGTTGTTCTTGATGCAGTTCACAGTCCGCCATTGCAGTATAGTAGTACCAGCGCTCACAATCGGTCACATATCTTAACTAAACCTTGTCAAACCATTGATCATAACAGAGTTCAAACGAGGCATGTCCGTTGTAATATATGTAAGCACAGAATAAGTAGTTCAGTATCACACGTTAAGGTGTAACAATCCATTCATATACCACTATAGCATGGTATGCCTCACGTTATTCATCTCAATGAAACAAGTGTACATAACCGAGATAGGGGGTCAACATTCAAATTTTATCCCGGATGTTAATACATACCCTTGCAGAGTTCATGTCGTTCGCATGCATTCAACCTAACAAATGAGGGGGGTGTGTTATATCACCTTTTGTACCTAGGTCGAAATATTTAAAGTATTTTATCATATAAAAATACATCGTATTTATCAGAAATTTCCAAGAATATTATTAATTTATTTTTTTCTCAGAGTATTTTACTTTTTAGAATTTTTTGTACATTTCAATGGAGTCTGAAGGCCGTTACTTATGCAAATAATATTCGTATGAGTAATTAATAACTTTCTTGTATAGTCATAACAATGTTGCACTGAACCTTGTAACAACCTTCCGTTGTAAAAAAAAAAGTTGTTATGCGCAATAATAAGCATTTGAAACTGTTTTGGCGCATCGATGCATATCCTGTAAGTCTGAGTTACAGTCTGACAACGTAGGAGTCAATACTACCCTATCCTAAGAGTCAGGCCAATTAGAGAGCAGTTTTGTTCTGCCTTGTATATATGATTCGACTCAACAGCAATGTAACAACAATGCCTTCTACGTTCTCATAACTGATTAGAAACACGTTGTCATCCATCCGTGTCATATTACCTCGTCGTAATTGTGTATACATTTTGAATACATGTATCACGATGTAATCTGAGAGGAGTACATTTGACTCACAAACGCAGTTCTGATTGTGATTCGGGTCCGGGTGAACTTGTTGAATTTACAATGGTAGTTTGCGTATACTAGAGTTTGAAATCGTTCATAATAATACTAGTGCGGGCAATATACACAAGGCAAGTAAACGCTGCATAGTTGCATAGACAGTGTGGTCGCTCATTTTTCTAATTAAATATTCAAATAATGTACAAATGTAATAAGCAAATCGTTTATTTGTATGTTACCGTGGCATGGATGTCCTCCTTACCTAAGACAAAAAATAAATATTCCAAAGTGAGACTTTAACATATTGTTTCCATAACATTAGATCATTTGATAGCGGCAATCGGAAAGTCTCTCGTTATACTGCAATGTTCACCAAGAATTGTGTACGGAGTTTGCTAATTCCCGTACGAATCTTGTTTGCATCCGCTGAAAATACAATTAAACCTCGCAACACTACGAAACACAATTCTCATCCATATTAAATATTTCAGTTTCACTCTTAGCAGTGCACTTATAAGTTACCAGAGTGTATCACAATTGATAGATATTCAGTTCAAGTTATCACACAATATACATAACCTTCAATATAAAACTTACATGAGTGATTGAGACTCATATAGCCTCTGTTCATCATGTTATTATTATATACACATTATATGTTGTTTAACTGTAATTCTAGGGTGTGACATACTTTTGCTTGGGTCATTCCTTTAATTTATTTGCGACAATTCTCTGTCTTGTATTGTTAACTATCTGCCCTTGTTTCCAAACAATATGTACTCCACAAAACGTGAAAAACGGATTAAGCACAATGCTCCACACACACACACACACACACACACACATACTTGTATTGCAATATGTTCCGAGGACTTCATTGGATTAACTTTTAATATAGTTGAATTAACTTTTAATATAGTTGCGATATGAACTCGATTAAAACGCGTTCCTATATAGGGTTGCGTTTTAATTGGAGTTTAATTAAACTCAATTACAATGCAATACAAT